TGACCAACCTTAAGAACTCGTAGATTCTCGATAATCTGAAATCTCGTACTGAGATAACGACTAGTTTGAGGGCCCACGATAAACTTTGTGAATCGTCGTTTTTCCCGTCGAAACAGGGTCACATGAGCGATCGAGGCGATTGCTGATAACACGAAACCGATGATGATCACTTTGTCGACCCCAAGCAGACCTGAAGAAATGAGAAGTACTTCTCTTAGCTGCATTAGTATACATTCTGGAGGTACCTTGAAGTTTCTCATTCAGTTGCTTCCATTTTGCAACGGGGCTGCTCTACCTCTCATCTCATGAGAACAAAGCAGTGATGTAACAAAATGGAAACTGTCGGCGAACAGTGCCGATTTCAAAGAACTACAGAAAACGAGCATTTTTTTGTTCTCATTTAGGCAAGACGGTTTTATTTCATGTCATATTATTGTTTCTCCATAAGGAATGTCTTTTTGCTAGCTGTCATCAATATCAGAATAAATTTCGTGGCGATTGTCCGATCCTATCTTAGTTCCAGTTCGAGGGCAGGCTGAAGTCATGAGTTCGCATTAGACGAAGGGGTTTTGGAAAGTGCCAGCGATGGCATTTCTTGTGGGTGTATGAGTGGTATCGTAGGCGAGTCGACCGCATTCCATCCTCACCGTGTGCCCATACTCTGCCTGTTCTTATTATATTATATTTTTACTATCTAACGCAGCTTTAAGCCACCCTGTTCGCGCTCCTCTTAAGAGCTTTCTGTTAGCACAATCAGTACAACAGCCAGAGGCAATCATTACTGAATGAAAACCACAGCACGACGAGGAATCGGCTCCTCGCCCTACCAGATGGGCTTCTCTTACATCATGTTTCGTTCGATTTCCAGCATAATCCTTGTCAATATTCAAAGTTGAGCTGAATTATCTATCAATGAGGTTTTAAGCTTAAGTTTGAGGTATCAACGCCGTAGAATATCGGTTGTTTCGCAGAAAGAGCATCCATAAGGGGAGGCGATGAACATGGGCGACAGTCAAGGGTCACGTAGGAATAAGGAAATAGGTAAAGTCCTTAGTTGCTTTTTGTGACAAATTTCTTTCATTATTATTAATAATATTTTTTCAACAGAATTTTTCAAAGTTTGTTCTTTAATTGGAGTTTGAAATCCTGTAAACTTTTCACAGAACACAAAAGTCCTGGAGAAATATCTTGACGGAAGCCCCTAATGGTGTTGTTTACTCGAACTTTTCCTTACCAAAGATCATTACCGTTGTACCAAGAGAAGCTGTTGTCCATGAACCGACGATGGCAGTGGCGGCAATCCAAGGACGAGATTTGGTCTCATAATCGCTGATATAGTGAGAAGCGATGAACCGCTCCATAAGCGTCGACAAAAGTGCGAAAGAAGGCAGGATTTTACAAAATAAATTCACAGAACATGCCATCATGTACAATAGTTCTGACTGAGGATTTTCTGCTGAAAATAGAAACTTGAACAATAGTGTCAATTTAAACTCTGCCATTTTTTGAAAAATTATCCTATATATTTGATAAATATATTCGCTTATAAAACCGTACCGTAACCAGTTCTCGTGTAATTTGCCAGACTTTTCATAAAACTTTCAAATTTCTCAAATTTTCTCATTTTCAAATACAATATTGTAAAAAAGCACTTGGAGTGCGAACGTACTTGAAACACCAATGAATCTCAGTGCATAAAGTATGATAATAATGCGTGAAGGCAGAGCCATGTAGAGCATACAGTAGTGATACTGGAAACATGGAATCTTAAAGCTCAAAATTTCACTAGAGAGAAGTGGAAGGAGCTTTTCCATCGCTTCAACCTTCCTCTGTTCAATGCAGGTGAAGCAATTTAAATGGAATACGCTTTAATAGCATGTATAGTATTCTGTCTACGTGGAATGGGCCGTGGTTCGTCAAGAATTTAACGCAAGTTCGCGGATGACCTTTCTGACCAGAGCGATTTATGTGGGACTGGAAGAACAAGATTTACCTGAGACAACCTTCTTATCCCTTTCTGTACCCTCTTCTTCCCTCGCTTGGAAGCCTTTGGAACCTGAGGAATTATGAAAGCGGAGCTCTGCCCAGCCAGCCGTGCAGAGCATGAACCACCACTGTCGCTTTGCTATGGAATAGTTCTAATTCACAAGTGCTCAGTAATAATTTGGGAGCTCGTAAGGAACGGTGGTTGGTTGACAAAGTAGGTTACCCCCTCCTCATCACTAACGATGTCGATAAGCTCGGGAGTCTTTGCAGTGCAGCGCTAAGTTAATGAATAGCACATACTTTGGTGATTACGACCAGATTACGGTGGAACAGAGATGATCTGTCGAGAGTACGGTAGAATATCACGAGGGCTGGAGTAGCAACCATCATAGTGAAACATTCGAGGAAATAGCTGATGTATAGGAATGAAGTTTGTGTCAATGCGTTGCTAGATGGGAGGGGAATAATGACCATCAACTCACTTCGTTTCGAGAGATCCACACTCATGGAACCTAAAAATGTTAGTTATAAGCAGACTCCGGGGTTCCAGCTGGAGATGTTCTTTCGAAATGGTGAGCAACAATAAATGCAACGAAAACAGTAAAGAGATGGTTGAAGCTATTTCTTGAGCTCAAGGTCGTTCACACGAAGAGCAGCTCTCCAGAATTCTTTCACTGCTACTCACTGGCTACATACTGGACTTCATCGAGACTACTGCTAATGGAAAACTCAGACAAGACAGCTGGTCGGAAGGCCAATGTCAATATCCATTCAGCTATAATGTTTTCTGTCCAGACAACGTCCTTTAGAACTGTGAAAGAGGAAGTGATGTGAGCAAAGTTTTATCAAAAACAAAGAGGGTAATGTCTTCCTTAAACAACTTTCCGAATTCTTCCCGCCAATTATTTTTCCGGCTCACAGCACTAGGTAGCAACAAAAGAGTCGTGAAGTTTCTGTTATTCACTCAGTGTTGTCTAACTTGAATAAACAGCAAAATCTGGTTTCCTCAATAATACAGAGTTTGAGGAGCTCTGATTAAGACCGTAATAGAATCGTCTGGACGGGTATAAGCCCTGAATTGTACGGGTGCGCTTCGTTGCGCGTGTCCGTCGAAACTAGGTCAC